CTATTTGATCACATTCGTTTCGTACATGTTCATCGGTGAAAAGAAGAAGAGAAGGATCGGCCGTGCCGCGACGCGGCGCGCGATCTTCGTGATCCAGTTTCGCTAAATCGAACGACGTCATTCCCAAAAATACAAAGTCCGACGGTCGCGTTTAATTTTTAACAAAACAATCGCGCGGGGAACGCCGAACTTCGCATCGGCGAGCGTTCTCCGTGCTGACATACCGTTCCCCTGTCCCGTCGATCCGCGAGCACGACAAACGCGTGCGAACCTTCGGTCCCCGGGACGACTCGGGGGAAACCGGATCGAACTAGATCACGGAAAATCGCGAGAGCACCGCGTCGCACGGGACTCCTGTCCCGCGATGAAAAAAGGAAGCTTACGAAAATCGGCGACGATTCACGTTTCGCGACACGTTCGTCGATAATTGGTCCGCTCGTAGAGAAGAATAGACAGTGTGTAGGTGAAGAGTGTAGGGAGATGAAAACGAGTCGGAGGAAAGGAGTGACCGTGGGAAAAGTTTCCGAAAGGGGAACCAAAACATCGAGGAAGAACGAACGTGGTGCAGGAACAGGGTGTCGGGGAATTATCGATCGCCCCCGCGTCGCGTAATCGCGCGCGGGGACGCGTGGGCGGCGGCGATGCGCAGCCCAAGGGAATGATCGAGGATGTGCACAGGGATGAGTGGAAATCCGTTCACGTGGTCCGGACAGTTGGTTCGTCGTGCGGGAGAATGGAGGAGGAGCCGGCCGCTACGGTTTCATCGGGAACGCTCCCGACACCGTCCAGGCTGTACTTCCGTTCTCGGCGATTGCTTCTGAGACAAGGTTCACTGGCAGCCCTAGCCATCCCTCAGATACCCTCAGTTCCGAGGCTGCCAATCAAAGGTGGCTCACCGACGTTCGAGTCGCACTGCATCACCCACTCCCAGATCCTCTTCGTCACCACCTTCTGATCGATACTGGTCTCGAGACCGTAACTGTTCAGCAGCTTCCTCAGCTTGTTCTTGTTCTCGTCGACGTTTCGCTGATCGTCGAGGACAGTGTCTAGGTATAACAAGCTGTCGGCTCTCCGCGCGATCGTCTCGCTCGCGTCTACGGAGGTAGACGTCGCGCTGTGGCTGATCTTGTTCACGCACCACGAGTCCTTCAGGTACTTGTTGATCTCCGTGACGTGCGGCCTCTTCTCGGGCTTGTGCTCGAACACCCGCCTGAAGTATCGCAGCAGCCTGGGCGTGAAACGCCGGAAGGTGGGTGGTATCTTTGTGGTGCGCCTCTTGAGCCACCTCTGGAACGCCGAGTACTCGGGGTCCTGGATCAAGTCGGCGCTCTGCCAGGGCGGGTTGCCCGTCAGGCACACGAACAGCACTATGCCGAACTGCCAGCAGTCGGCGCTCCTCTTGCACGCGTACCTCTCGTTCTTCACTATCTCGTAGATCTCGGGGGGCTGGAACGACAGCCAGGTGCATCGGATCTTGTTCACCAGCGTGCCCTCGCGTCTGGTGCACCCGAAGTCGCACAGCTTGATCTTGGACATGTCCGCCGCGAACACCAGCACGTTCTCTAGCTTGATGTCTCGGTGAGCTAACTGCTTCGAGTGGATAAATTCGAGGGCGGAGGCTAATTGACCGGCGATCCTCTTGCAAGCTTCCTCGCTGAGACCACCGGCCCTCACGTTGCCGGCTAGATCGCCGTGGGGAGCATATTCCTGCGCGAATACGAAACAATTGTCTGCTTTGAACGCGACCGCGTACGAGCAGAGGATGTTCGGGTGCGGGCTTAAATGGTATGAGTAGTGGAACTCGCGGAAGAAATCCTTCTCGGTGGTTAGCTCCTGGTGGACGGCTTTCAGGACTATGCGGGTCCGGGTCGGACGATGCGTCGCGAGCAACACTTTCGCGAAGCTACCTTCAGCCAGAGTCTTCTCCACCTCGTACTCCTTGGATAGGTCCAGCTCCTCGAGCGGCACCTCCTGCACTCGGTGGATGCCGGACTCTTTCTTCTCGTGAAGTTTCATCTGTAATCAAAGCGCAGCCTGTCGTTACTGGTTCTTCTGACGTCTTCTCCCGGATAACTTCGCGGGCTACTTCAACGGTCGGATTCTCGGGTTTGCCTTGTAATATCGGACACGTGGCTGGCTCGTTAAATTGAATTTTACGAACCGGATGACTCTTGATCGATCGGAGGGGAGTCGTATGAAACTTTTATGTCCAATGCAGACATAGAATGTCTGAGTTAAATCTGTAGCCTCTATTTTCGCTGAGGAATTACTTGTAATAGTTCTTCAGTCCAAATGAATATTACGAGTTACTTAGATTAGATTACAGATCCTGAATTATTTTAGACTTAATCGATATCAACGTTTTAAGTTAGAAAAGGTTACGATTTGATAATCTAGCTTCAGACTCTATTTAATCGCCTTCTTCAATGACAGAAACGAATAAGAACAAGTATTCCTTTCCTGCCCGGTAAACGGGTTACAATCGATTACTCGATTTTAGGAGTCTATTTCCATTTCCGCCAGCAGTATTCTATTCATCCGAATGATTTCTGTCACGCTCAGGCCGTGACACGCCTCCGTGGCGTTCGCGAGCCTGATGGAATAAACAATTCTATTGAATTCTAAAAGTAGCTTCTATTCTATTTCCGCGGCGATGGCTCCCCTGACATCGGGAGCTAATCCGTGAATCTCGGTTTCCGCAAATAGCCGGGCGTATAAATGAATCATATAAATCAGACCCGACCCGATGGATATTTAATAACCGAGATTCGAAGCGTTGCTCGGATCCTCGAGCGTCTCCGTTGAAACGGAACAGGGGGGATCATGAATCAAAGGAAATTCGGTTGGCGGTCCGTGTACGCAAGGACGAGGGTGAATCTCCGCGGGTGGGGGTAGAATGCCGGAGGTTGGCCGGGTGAACCCAGGACCTTTCGAGCTGGCTAGATCAATAGCAAGGATCTCGCTGCGGCAACGCGCGTAAACCCATTTCGTTTCGTTTCCCTTTCGCGTCGTCTGGATCGGAGTAAATTTAGACCAAGAACAAGCGAGAAAAAAAAGTCCTCGCGATGGGATACCGAACGGAACTCTATCCTCTTCCAAAAGCATCGTTGAATCGTATTCGTAAAAATAAATCCTCCGGCGCGACGCGATCGCTCTGGAAAATGATAATTCTCCGAAGTCGCCGAAAACGTCGGGCTCCTTCGATTCTTCAGCTCGATCGATCGGCCGTCGTCGATACGATATTCCCGGCGCGACCGTGCGTATCGGATATTCGCGGTCCCCGGCACCTTGATTATTTCTTTTTCCCTCCGGCTCGCGCACCAGTTCCCACCGGTTCGACTCGGACAAGTTTTCGACGCGGATATATTTAGCGGTTCTGTTTACCGAGGTTATTTTAACACCCGCTAGAGATTAGCGAAGTAATATTTTCGCGTACGTCTTCGCGTTTAACGAGTTATTCTGAATGTCGGCCGGCGGGGGAGGCGCGGGTCGCGGGGCCGGATAGATAAATAGATACACGGATAGATTGCACACACAGCCAGGTGGAGGGACACGTACACGGGCGAAGGTCTGATACTAGAGGGACTGGCCTCGTATCTGGCGGCTAGACCGCGTCGTCTCCGCCGTTCGTTCGTTTTATCGTCTCGCGTCATCGGGGACAATCTCGTACGCCCCGTCCACGTTTCTATTCCCAACGCGATCAACGGGCTCGTATTCTTTATCATTCTAACCATTGGACATCTATCCCCTAACGCTTGTTATCCTACCAGCTTATAATGATCCAGCGTTTCTCTATCTCGCTAGAACCCTAGACAATAGAGGGTAGCTCGAGTCATATCTATATTAGGTGATCGAACACGGAACTCACCTTGATTTCAGAAATCCTAGTCGACTTCCAGCTGCGATCTGGACGAACGAACGTTGAAAAGTGCACGATTCACTGCGTGTCCTATCGGCGAAGCTCTCGCGATTGATCGTTCGTACCGATGATACGTCGATTCAATTACATTCTCACTGGGCCACTCGGCAGTGGTCGCACGTACGTATGGGGACACGATCGGCGGGGATCACGGGGCGCACAGCACGTCGGGGAAACTAGATCGGGACGACGATCGGACCGTCCGTCGCGTCGGTCCCTGCGTTATATCTCACTGGCGTGTCCTCGCGTGAACGGGAATCCGGGGGATAAACGTCACCGTGACGGGATAACTCGAGAGACCGTAAGCTCGGGCCGCTCGATGTCACATTTTCAACGGCGTGCGCGTGGCGTGGTCGCGTCTGGAGCCGTCGCGACGCCCTGCGCCGCTTTTATAGACCGGGCTCGTGACGCGCAGACGTGGATCGGAAAGGGGTACGGCCGGCCGACGATCAAACACCCGCGTAATTCTCCTTCCCTCCCTGGTTCCTTTCATTGCCACCCACCCGGCCGGCCTGCTCCGTGAACATTATCATTTTCTCCCCTTGATCGTGCGACGATAATTAGACGATCCGTCGCCGCGGCGAGGTTCAACGAACGAGGGACAACCGCGCGACGCGTCCGCGCCGGGAAACGCCTCGAAGTCTCACCGTTCCGCGGAACCTAGCACGATAATAGGCTGAAGCGAGCGTGCACACCCGCACGGCACCTTGGTACCGAGCCAAGGAAATTGTTTTTCGCCGCGCGGATCTCTCCGGATCTCGACGCCAGATAAATTAATGATTTTTCAAACGAGAGGCGGCCGCCTTGCCCTGCGACGCGCAACGACGTATGGAACTTTCCGGTCGCTTTGCGCCTTTAGCAAAAATCTCGATGTTCTAGTGGAATCCGTGGAGTTCCTTTGGTTCTGTTGTTCTTTTCTGTTTGAAATTTTTAATTCTTGTAGTCGAGGGGTAGGTGTTGTCGGTTGATTTGATGTAGGAGGGTTATAAAGAAATAATCAACGTTTTTTTATGAGATGTATGATATTCTCTGAGACTAACTAATGAGTGTACATGGCAAAGCTGTTTTATGGCAGTGTTTCGTGTATTGGTGCATTATATGACGCTTAATATTATATATAACTGTGTAATTTTATTTCGTATAGTGTCCAAAGGGTTCATATAATTAATATGTGAAATATTAAAATGCAAATAGCTGTTGCTTAATTTTTCCATATTCTCTTATTAGTTGATTTCAAAGAATGTCTTCTATATCTTATTGGAAAATATTGAACGTTTCTAGTGAAAATATGAAGTGCAAAGGGTTCGTATAATTTGTGGGCGAAGATGCACCGCGCGATTACTTCGGGATCGTTTGAACAGAAACTTTAGAAGGTTCGAAGTCTGAGGATTAGCTGCGAGACGTCGAGGGAACTGTTTATGAGAGTCTAGTTTGTAAGGGCTGTCTAACGTGGCTGGAGAAGCGAAGAAAAATAGAGGCTTGCTGTTTTATGAAAATGATACACCCGGCTATTTTTAGGGGTTAACAATTTTTGAGTGGCGGGAAATTTTCCACCGACGGTGTATCCCGCCGTCGACGCGCGCGCACGCACTCCCGGGTGTAATATAATCATTCCATGCTGCGATATTCATTTTCGTTTCTTTTACGCACGTTCGGCCCATGTTTTTTTTCTCCTTCCTCCTTTATGCTTACCGAATTACATTTGAGTTTAGTTTAGCTACGATGCTTACGCTCGTCGGGTTTCGTTGTTGCACGCAACCATCGCCTTTATTATACCGTTCGCTCTACTCTTTCGTCAATAAATTCCCTTCTTCTCATTCGCTTTTTATATCTAACGCGTCGCTTTGTTATTCTTTGAACCTCGTGCATCGGATACATTTTAGTGAGAAGTAATCTCGTATCGCGCGCAAGGGTTATTCTACGTTCTCGTTACGCGAGATAAAGTCGGCGTGCAACGCTGTCGAAGTCGGAACAGCACGTTCGATCGAATCGATGAAGATGGCCGGAGGGCAGCGCGTGCACAATGGCCAAATGGAATTTAATTTGTACCAGAAAGTATTTTTAAGATGTGTGTCAAGTACACGTTGTCCATAGGGACGAATTGTACATACTGGTGCGACGACAATGCTATCGGCGCAGCGATATAAATAGAGAAAACGCTCGCGATGGGAAATCTGCGAAACAACCTGATCGATTGCCCCGTTTCTTTTTTATTCGATTTCTCCATCGTGCTACCCTTTATCCCACTGCGAACAGTTACAACTACGTTTTTAGAGCTTTTATGTAACAATTGTCAAATAATTTTGATACAGTTTCCTAGGAGAATTACTATTCTTCGCAAGCGACACGCGACCGAATTGTTTATTGAAATAACAGAACTCAGTTACTCAAGTTTCCAAGGGTAAAAAATAATTTATTCATAGTTTCTGCAATTCATACATAACATAAGTAGATCGCAGATCTTTATAAGAATATTTTCATTTCAATAAGAGTTCAATTTACCTCAAAGCACATAAAAATCTCCTTGAACTTTTATCACCTTTATCGAGGTCTAGAGGATTAAAATACCATAGTTAAATATAAAAGTTCAAATCACTAAATAAACACACAGAACAATCATACGAAAATTCATTTGATTACGAGTGACGAATTTCTCCTCTCGGGTACAATATAAAAATATGTCCCATCCGATTGAAGTTCTCCAGCTCGATTAATCGCAGTCCGAGGAGGAAGCCAGCGTGTATTCCGAGTATCCGTAGGAATCATCAGAAAAGCTGCAGCTACAGTAGCTGTCCGAACAGGAACAGGAATAGTCATTAGAGGAGTAATAGCAGCTACTGCAGGAACACGAGCTGTCCGAGTAACTATCAGTTTCATCGCTGCTGCAGCTCGAATCAACGTCTGAAAAAGAAAACCGTATAAACTCGTCGCGCAGCACTCAACGAAAATTAAGGTTGCATTTAGAAATACGTGAAAAAATGACACGAAAACCCGGAATAAAATGTTCTCCCGCAACACTGTTTCTAAAATAATCACATTCGAAAGTGTACCAGTCGCGTGTGCTATCGAATAAGCATCCACCGTGTCTGTCTATGTCCTACCATTTCTACTTCTTCCGAACACAACGCTGAAGCACGTAGGAAAAATTTCGCAGTGGATTGTCCCGTGGACGCGTGCCATCGAATAAAAACGTGCTAACGTGTCTATTCATAACTCTCTGTATTTACTTTCGGTAGTTTATATTTTTCATGCACCCGTTTCACGCGCACTCTCAAAAACCGATTATCCCAGGCAGAAAAATCTCCAGCGAGGAAGTTTCGTTTCACGTTTTCGTCTTATTTCTTCACAGGGATTCACCCCGAGTATCTTGAGCGCAACTGGCTCGATGCAATACCTGGCAAATGACCCATTATTTTCGCGACCTTCGTTACTTGTCTAGTGAACTCCTCCATGGCTCGGTTCGCCTTCCTCTCGTGCCGGCGTATTTTCCTCTCGTCGCGCCTGTTCTTTTCGTCGATCAGCCGTCTTTCAAATTTCCCGACCTTCCTCTTCTCGTCTGCGGGTCGAACCGAACAAATCAGACGTGATTCGAAGAAGTAGTTACTGGCAAACGGAAATAGACGTTCTCACCTCTGATCGGCGCGGATTTATCTTTCCGTCCCGCGGGTTTCGGCTCCTTGCACCCCGCTTTCGGCTGCAACTTTCCTTCCTTTTTGATTTTCTCCGTTTTCTCTGTCGCCTTCTCTTCGCGTTTCGTCTCCTCTTTCCAGGACTTCGGCTTTTCCTTCTTCGCATTGTGTTCCTCCTGCTTCGAACATCTCGAATTTTCTTGCTTCTCGTCGTGGTTCCCCTTTTTCTTCGAACACTTCGAATCTTTCTTCTCTTCTTGTTTGAAGGAGAAGTCCTTTGAACGTCTCGATTTCTCTTTCTTCTCTTCTTGTTTGAAAGAGAAGTCCTTCGAACGTCTCGATTTCTCTTTCTTCTCTTCTTGTTTTTTCTCCTTCTCTCCCAAGCATTTGGAATCCTCTTTCTGTCCTTTCGCCTCGCCTCCGACTTCGTCGCGGTTCAACGCTGTTTTCCCGAGAACTTTCGACGCGTTCCGATTATCAATCGCCGCGCCGCAATTTTCGTTCTCTTTCGACGTGTCGAGTGTCCCAACGAGTTCCTCCGGCTTCGCGAGGTCGCTGATTCGCGAAGATTCTCGTTTAGGAGTGCTCATTTCGCACAAGAAGCGACTGTCGAAGTCCAGCGACGTCTGCCCCGTTGTTTCATTCGATTCGTCAATATTTTCCGGCCTCTTGTCTTCCGTCGAGCACCCGTTTCTCGTTTTGCGAACCTTAGCATCGTTTTTCGACCGTTTCGCGGACAAACTCGCCCTCGATTTGACGTTGCAGGCGTCGCCAAGACTTTTCCGACATCTCGACGATTTCTTCGAATCATCGGCCTTCATCTTTTCTCTCTTCTCCGAATTTTCATTTTGCTTCTTTTCCTTTTTCTTCTCGCTCGCCGATTTCATTGCTTTATTTTTCGCCCCTGAATCACTGGACACCGTCGCCTTTTTTTGACTCGATTGCTGATTGGGCGATCTGCGATCCGTCTTCCGGAAATGTTTTGGCGTTCTCTCGCTGTCTGTTGCCGAGGGTAATCATGTAAATCCGCGAAATCGTAATGCCCGTCGAACGCGCTTACCTTTGGGCGCGTGACTCGGCTCGAGCGTCACGCGTTCTTTAAACTCGTCCAGCACATCTTGGATGAAGTTACGTTGCACGAAGTCGTCGATCTGGCTCCACGGATCGATGCTCAGGATCTGGTCCATGTCGAGAATACCTTCGGCTGTGCAGAACGAGAGCGCGGACCTCAAAGGAACCTTTTTGTGGCTCATATCATCCGTTAATCAACTGCTAATCCAATCATTACATTGTTACCACTGGAACTATCAGATGAACTAAAACGATCCATTCCTGATTTCTTTCATTATAGTTACTAAAAGAACTCAGATGCTTCGAGAAATTAGTAGAGACGCAATAACATCCAAATTAAAATATAAATCAATTAAAATCTCAACACATTGCATACTGGCAACGAGAAATCTCTTTATATAAAGACACTTAGTTATGTAACTTCGTTAATTACCACAGCATTTAAACAAATATCTAATTTCATTAGAACCGATCATCTATTTAAAATCTATTACATAACAATCTGAAATTTGATGAATTCAGTTTTCTGAAAATTAGACAATGTGTTAAACACACGCTTCTAGTTTCTAAAGAGAAATGTTCAAAAATCAGTCGAAGCGTTCGTTCTAGTGTTAATACGAATATCAGGCATCGATTTTATAATGTCAACTAACGGGTACAATTTTCTACATCGATTAATCGAATAATTAATCTTACCGCGGGGTATCTTCGTCCAAACGCCGATTGAAAAGACTGATCGAGCGAGGACGAGCGAAAGAAACGTCGAGAAACAACGACGATTGAATCCCTCGAACAGGTCGAGCCACGGGCGAACAGGTTGATGTAGGAAGCGAGTGGAAAGCAATCGGGCCGGCTTGTTTATTTGTACATCGCCGAAGGAACAACGTGATCGTTGTTTTCCGAGCGGTCAGAGCGAAACTGCGTAGAGCTGGACCGCCCGCTGTCGTTCGGAGTAATCTAGATCGAAACGATCCCCGCGCGACCGATATTTCCTG